TATGGGGAATAGGTGTTGTAACGGAATTTCGTTAAATGTCGCTGTTAGTTTCGAAGTTTCAAACTTCAAATGGGAATCGTTTGCAGTAGAATAATTGTTGTTTTTCCAAGTTTTATTGATGCAAATAATTTTTTTTTAAAAACTGTGTGTTGAGAAATTGAATTTACAATTTTATTTTACCTTTTTTCTTATTCAAAGATGTTTTTTTATTCAAAAAAAGTCAGATTCATTACGGATTTGTTTGCGGCGATGGTAGCGATTCAAGCGGCATATGAACGCTACTAAAGAGGCCTTTTAAATTTTATGACAAATTGTTAGTAGTTCATATTGCGAACGTATTTGAGCGGCGGGTTCAGTGCATTTTGAAAATTATTGGTAAAAAATGATGAGCGATCAAAATGAATGATTGTCTGTGAAAAATCGGCTTTGAATCATTCGCTTCAGTTCAAGTTCAAGTTTGCACATAAAAATGTGTTTGCATTTGAATCAAACAAAACGAAATCACCATTGGTATTCACCACCAAATCCGATAAAATCAATTTGACGAAAATTCATGAAAATGGGAGAAGAATTGGAAATTAGAAGGGGAAAAAAACAAAGACGAAAAACGATGAGAAACTATTCATAGGTGACCTGATTTTGGTCTTGCGGTCTGAATCATCCATAAATTATTCCAAGTGTGTTTCCGTATCGACCCGACCGTTGATATGTTGCCATAGTCGTAATAATGATAATCATACATTATATTACATAACCCAAAATGATAATGGTACTTGCTGTCGACTTTAAAATGCCACTACAACCGAAAATTGAAATCTTTGTTGAGTTTTGTCACACACACACACACACACACACACACAACTCGAACATTTACTCGGTTTGTTTCGGTGGATGAAAGATTCAATTCCCCATGCGCCTTTACCCGACGCTCGACGGCATACAGCTAAAACATACTCGTTGACTCTGATTTAGGTTGACACAAAACTTTCTTCGGCGGCAACTTTTCGACTTGTCAAAGGAAATGTGTATCAAGATAAATTTCCATTGGAACTGACAAGTACCTGCACCGATTTTCTAACAATAAATGTGATTTTCAAAGCGAAATAGTACAGAGCAACGGAGGAAAAGGAAGCGCGAGACGGAAGGAATGAGTAAAAGTGTTTTGTTCTGGAGATAGGAGGATTTGACCGAATTTTGCCCGAAACAATCGACATGACAGCCACAGAGAATGATTTCTAACTTTTGGCCTGACGTGGCTGGCAATGTTTGAGGCAAATGTTTCACCACCCTGCGGTGATAGCGACAGCGTGTTGTGGCCCCATTGCAAATTGTGTGAACATTTTCTGAATCGTTTCGCTCTCTATCTCTCTGACTCTGAATCGTGTAATTATTGTATGCTTTCGTCGTTCGACCAACGTGTTTTAAGTGGAATATTGTTGTAGTTTTAGTTTTGTTGATGTGTGTCTGCTTTTCTCTCTCTCTCTCTCTCTCTCTCTCTCTCCCTCTCTCTCTCTCTCTTGCAATGTTCAAAATGCAAATGCAATAATCAAAACCAGCATGATTGGTCGTACATTTCTAGCAGCAAAATTAACAAACAAGTACAATTTTTATCGAAGCAATGACATCATTTGTAGTGAGTATGACATTATAAATTGCAGTCACCCGATGATTAGTGGACTTTTGTTCTCATTTTTTGTTGTTGCTGTTTCTCTGTTTGTCTTCGTTCGTTCACGCTTATTTCGCTATTGTTGGCGATACCGACTTGTATTTATTTTTTTAAATTCCATTATTGTCAACGATACGGAAATAAGAAGAGTTTTAAGTTAATTTCAATAATCGACGAGGCGGTGTATTGAGAACGGTAATAAAAAGAATATTTTTTTGTTTTCTTCGAACATTGGAAATAAAAAAATTGATATTTTAAGCACTATCAGTCCAGTCTGATAAGATGGTCAAATTTTCTGGGAAAAAGGGCGGCGGCAGTGGAGTAACAGCAACAGAAGCAAAAATTGGCCTATTGACGTCTTTCATCTGTTTTCTTTTTGAATATGTTTTCTCATGAATTTCGACGATGATTGATACCTGACACGGCGAGAGCCGGTTCGGTTCGACTCGATTCGGTTCAATTTTATGGGTTCGAGAAACCGAACAAAAATTGATCGGATTTTCAATCAAATGGGCTATGAGAGTCAAATTAGTGAAATGATCCGAAAATAGTCGTTTTGTTAGTCAATCATCGCAGAGAAAATGGAGAGAATGTGAAAAATTACGGAAAAGAAAAGAAAACACGTAACGTTTCTTACGTCTTTGTTGCTCTTGATTTTTCTTCTTCTTCTTCGTTTCGATTCATGCTTCTTTCGCAAGGGATTTCCTTAAATTCTCTTTATCTTTTTTTTTCTCGTCATGAAACAAATGCGCACGCATGACTTTCCTTCAAGTTGTCTATCTCTCAGCTGAGAGAAGCCTTTCTTGCGACTCCTCAAATGCGTATTTTGCTCGTTTCTCTCTCTTCAAATTCGGGAGGGATTTGATTCGTTCTATCTTCTTCATTCTTCGCTTTCGGAATAGTATTCGTTTTGTGTAAGCGATATATTTTTAGTCATTCTGCCACATAGCCGTTTTTTTTCCTTTTATTTTACATTTCGAATCCAAAACTATTGTTGTTAAAAAATGAAGAGAGAAAAAATGCGGGGAAACGATTTGTGTGTATGCAAAGCGAATTCAATTAAGTCTTCTATGCTATCAGTTATGACATCATTTTATACTTCTTCTTCTTATTATTCTTCCTACCGTGTGCGTTCATTTGCACGCGTTTCTTCTCTCCCTCTCTCTCTCGCGTGCATACTGCTACCTGTCTCTCACTCAATCGCTCGTGCACTGTGCTCGCTCACCACAAAAGTGACACAACGCAAAAAGACAATAAGCAACAAGGAAAAAAATAGGAACGCGACGTGCCGACAACAGAAAGCGACAACAAAAATGCTGTGATCACATATAAAAGAAATTGTAAAGCGAAAATTTGAGCGAAAAAAAGAAGGAGAAGAGCGTATGAATGACGAAAAGCACGAATGAAGACGACGCTTTTGCTCACTGAAACAAAACTGAAAAGAGCAATGAAAGAAAAAAAAATGAAGAAAAAACACACACAAATTCTAAATGAATTACAGCGTCTAAAATGATCTGCGCACACGAACAGCACGAGGTCAAATCGGTATTAATTAGTGAGTTTTTGGCTGAAAAAAAAAACAGTAGCATATGCGAATGTAAAATGTGTCTCTCTCTCTCTCTCTGTGTGTGTGTGTATGTGTGATTCTCTCTGCCTATGTTATATATTTTGTTAAAGTTGCTCAAAAAAATAGAAAATTTTGAAACGTTCGAATTTTCCCTCGTTTCTTCTACTTTTCGGTGCGCTTAATCGGTTCGCTGTGAGCGTCATGCCGTCTCCTTTTCGCCTATTGTTTTTCTTTTCATTCGATGAATATCAATCAATACGGTGTGAAATGTTTTCGAACTTTTGGTTGGCTGGTGTCTCGGGGCTTCATTTTCAATTTTCAATTTATATCGAGCAACAAGAAGAAGAAAAAGAAGAAAAACAACTGAAAACTACAACCAATCCAAAATGAGACAAGATGCGCTAAGCAAACAAATTAACGTGCTCGTTCGTTCATTTACGTGCTGGTTCGCCCGCACAAAATGAACTGTTGTGTATAATTTGAAGTGAACGATCAACAAAAAACTACAATCAACAGCAACTCGAACATTATTAGAACATTTGTACACATCAAAAATGTTAATTTATATGTAAAATAAGCGAAAGAAAAGAAGAGAATTAACATCGAAAATGGTAGCATTACGGTTGTTGTGTGTGCGATTAATTTTTTTTTTTTTGCTCACACTCTACTCGGTTTGCTACATAACAACAAGATCAAACTTCAATAGCACATGAAATGTGGTGATTGGCATTTTGTGCGCCTGCGAACAAAATGCCTGCGTGCGCTTGGGCAACGCACGGCAACGGCCATTCAATTTGTGCGCGCCACACACAATAGTCAGTGTGTGTGATCATTTGTTCTCACTCAAAACATATTTACGAGTGCGCGCGGCTCGCTTACCGAAAAAAAAGAGCATCTTGACGTGTGTGTATTCGTCTATTACTTTTTTGGTTTCGTTGAAGCGAGCATCCAACAATTATTTTGCTGTTGTTGTTGTTTCGTGTGTCTGTCGTTAGTTTTTTTCTCTGTTCGTTTATTGCGTTAACTGAATTAACATTTGTACGGTATTTATGGTAGAATCAGCATTGAAAAATATATTTAAAAAAAAGAAGAAGAAGAAGAAGAAAAACACGCGAAAAATCAATTTTAATTATGATAAAAATTAACTCAATTAGAGTAAATGGTCGTGAGCAAGGAAAGTTTTTCGGGTTCGACTTTTGAATGAATTGGTTGTATGAGTGTGCGTGCGTGTGTGCGTCTATTTATCACCCCTTCTCCTGCACCTCGTCCGATGATTCGAACAGAAAAAACGATTATTATTGGATCATGCATTTCACATAGCATTGGAAATACCCTTTGCACTTTCGCTCTTTACATACAGTAGGCCTAGAAAATCGTTGGAGTGCGCGCGCGTCTCGTAACAAATTCACACACACACAATCTCTCTCACTCTCTCACTCTCTCTCGCACAAGAAGGGAAAAAAGCGATGAACAACTTGATATCTTATTTAATTCTTATAGAAAACCGAAACGAAAACAAAAAAACTTGAAGCAGTTTCTTATTTCAAATTTTGAAATTGTTCTATTTTTAGAGCATTTTCAACGAAGCGTCGTACATATATTTGTGTTTTTTTTTGGTTCTGTTGTTGTTGCTATATATTTGAATCTATATTGATGCTGCATTGTTGTTGCTGCTGTCTTCGTTTTTTGTTTTGTCACAAGGAAATCACTCAATGTTTTTCTCTCTCTCTCTCTCTCTCTCTCTCTCTCTTTGCTTTTGTTTTGCAGATAGAAATACTCAAACATAATAAATGGCCACTATAGATGGGCGACCTACACAATATGGTGTATCTCTCAAGACTCTGCGGGAGCTCATGGAGCACCGTGGCCGCGAAGGTATTGCCCGGATAAATGAAGTAGGTGGTGTACAGGAATTATGTAAAAAATTATATACCTCACCAAATGAAGGTAAGTGGTGGGTTTTGCATCCATCAATCCATATCGCATAGCTCTGTCATAGCTCGAATTCCATTGAGATTATCTCTCACATTCGAGTTGACAATGTGATAAAATTCGTACACAAATGATAATGACACATTCTTCTCTTCCCGTTCTGTCACTTTCCGCTCCGTCAAAAGGCTTAAGTGGTTCACGTGCCGATATTGAACATAGGCGAGAAACATTTGGTTCAAACACAATACCACCGAAACCACCGAAAACCTTCTTACAGTTAGTATGGGAAGCCTTGCAAGATGTGACACTTATTATTTTAGAAGTAGCAGCCCTAGTATCCCTTGGTTTGTCTTTTTATTCACCGAAAGAGGAGGAAACACGTAAGTATCCAAAAAAAAAAAAAAAAAAAAATCAGCGGCAAAATCACAAATGAGACACAAAGGGAAACAATGCATTTTCATCATTAAAAAACAACGAGCTAACGAGCAATTGTCTTTTGTTTCATATGTTCTCTTTTTCTCTGTGTTTATTTGCTTTTGCAGCCGTTAAAAAAGTTCAAGAAGAAGATGATAGCCACGGTTGGATTGAAGGCTTAGCCATATTAATATCCGTCATAGTTGTTGTTATTGTAACTGCGTTCAATGATTATTCCAAAGAACGACAATTTCGGGGTCTACAAAACCGTATTGAAGGCGAACACAAGTTTTCGGTAATACGTAATGGTGAAGCAAAAAATATATCGGTAGGGGACATCGTTGTTGGTGATATATGTCAAATAAAGTACGGCGATCTCTTACCAGCCGATGGTATATTGATCCAAAGTAATGACTTAAAGGTAATTGCATCACATTCTTTTCCAATTCCATAACAATTAAATGCTAATGTAGACGAATTCTGTTCGACCGATTTGATGTAGATTTATTAACCATTTTCTAATCTTTCTGGTGCTGGTGATGCATTCGAGAGAGTTTTAAGAGACTTTCGACATTTCTGTCGTTCATATTTGAATATCAAAAGTTCGACTCTCGTTGCAAACCACATCTTTTCTATTGTTTATCCAAATTTATCACAAAATCAGATGATATTTATTTGCTAGTTTAAGTTTTTTTGTTTCATCATTGAAAGAAATTTAGGGAAAAAATCAAATTCAAATCGAATTCTTGATGTTTGTTGTTCAGAATTTTTAGTTTATATTTAGAATTGTTGCCGTACATTTTTGGTGCAAAAGTTAAATTAATTTGAAACGATTCAAAATAAATTACTTCAATCATGTCATCGAAATTCATATCAAACCAAAACAAATCTCCGTCATATACTTCGAAACAGGTGGACGAATCGTCGTTAACTGGTGAATCAGATCATGTAAAAAAGGGTACGGATTACGATCCGATGGTTCTGTCGGGAACGCATGTTATGGAGGGCAGCGGTAAAATTGTTGTTACAGCCGTCGGTGTCAATTCGCAGGCCGGTATTATATTCACATTATTAGGTGCTGCCGTTGATCAACAAGAAGCCGAAATTCGTAAAATGAAGAAAGGTAAAATGCAATTGTCAAAATTGCACCACACGATCGAATTGTGTGTGCCACCGTATGTGTGTGCACAGTCTCGCTCATTTCGTTTTTTTTAATACATATAGATATCATTGATGTTGTTGCGGTTGTTTCCATTCCATTTGATATGTTTTTGGTGTTACAACCAAAGTCCAAAATCAAACCAATTTTCTCTCTAATCTATTTTCATGCCAAAAACAAAACCAAACACTTTTTTTTTATGTCGGAATCGATGTTATAATCCATTTTATTTGAAAAAAAAAAACAAAACCAAACCACCCGATCACATTGAGAATGAATCGCTCTCTAGTTTCGTTAACATTTCCAACCGATAGTCACTCAAATATTTGCTCATCTCAAACTTTCAATGCTCTATCAAACTACATTAGATGCATTTGTTTTGCTGGATTTTTTTTAGATTCATTTCACATCTGGCAAATGAATGAATGAAGAAAAAAACACATACTGTTTGTTTATTGATTGATTGGAAATGTGTTTTGTTATTTGTTCTTTCAATTTTAGAATCCAATAGCCATTTATTTAATGAAATCAACAACAACCGATCTATTGCATCTGATTTACAACCGGTGCATTTTCAAATCCGATTGTTTTTTAATTACATGTTTGGGATTTATCAGAATTTTTTTTTGGATGCAATCCTTCCAATCAATCCCGCCAGCCTCCCCGTAATTCTCTAGACAAACGAATTTTACTCTCTTTTTCTAGCCTACCTCCAAACCTCTACTACCACCAACTTCAACTTAACTTATACATATATATTCACTTTACTTGTTTTTTTACGGAATGAATTGACAAACCAATTAAGTTTTTTTTTTACAACTCTGTATGTGATACGTTTGATCGCAATAAGTTGACCCTCCCCCTGACCCTGTTTTCGTTTCGTTGAACAATTATTTCAGTTTAAACCTCGTTGTCGTCGTGAGAAAATAAACCAGAAACAAAAAAGGAAATTCACACACACAATCAAACGATCCAAATAACACGAACGGTGTACATCAGAGCAAGGAATAAAAAACCGTTTCAAATTTTGATAACGAATCACGTTTTCATAATTCATCTTCCATTTTCAAATGTCAATAATCGACTCGCTATTCGTTTTTTTTTTCTTTTTTTGCCGTTCTTGCTCACATGACACGGTCACGCTCGAAAATCTCTTTTTTTTGTTCATATGCAGCTAATTCAAATCCCAAAACTTATCCGGAATTTGCTCAAATAGCTTTTCGCTCTCGCTATTGCTCGCGCTCTGCTCTCTCCCCATCTCATTGGCAGAAAATTTGAGGAAAAAAAAAACCGTTTGCATTGACCAAATGGAAAGTGAAACAACAACAAAAAACGAATTCGAATAAAACGCCAACATTGTCCATAACGTTTTGTGCGCACCTTCTTGTTTCATCTGTTCTTTTTAATAGGCTGTTGTGCTTCTCTCGAAACACAATGTCACCATTTCCATCCATCTCTCCCATTTCGTGGTGCAATGTTTAATGTTTCCCATATTCCATTGGCGTGGCTGTTACATCTTTCTCTCTCTCTCTCTCTCTCTCTCGTGTTTTCATACAAAAGAAGAAAAAAAACATGTAAACATAATGTGATTGTGGCAATATTCCGTGTGCGCTCGCTCATTCGCTCGCGCGCACGGAACAATAAAATAAAACAGCCACAGGCTGCTATGCAAACAAAATAAACACGCTGTCGCACAACAGCAGGAATTAGCAGCAGCAACAACACAAACAAAATATATATACAAACCAAAAAAAAAAAAACGAAAATGACCAAAAACAAACGAAGAAAAAAAAATTTCATAATCTTCCAATTCTTACAAAAATTCATTACCAATTTATGTTTTGCATGAATTTTATTTGAATTATTTCTGTTTTTTTTTTTTTCACTTTTTTGTAATAAAAAATGTGTGCATTACCAGAAGCTAAAAAGCAGAGGAAGAAGAAAAGTTTAACAACAGGTGAATAATTTCAACCAAATTTAATCATTCTAACTATAAAATTAAACAAACCAAAAAAAACACCCACAAGTTATTTTTAAGTACTAACATTTTCGTAACTTGGTATACAATAAAAACAAGCGATAAGATGGCAAATGACAACGAACAACAAGCGCTCAGCGACGACAGCAGCAGCAGTAGCCGCAGCCTCAATCGTCGCTTGAGTTGAGTCAAGAGAAATGGAATTTTCATTTGGATGAAAATGGTTTGTGCGACACGGAGTTTGATTTTGATTCAGAGCAAAAGTTACATTTTCAAATAGGATAACTCCAGAGATCACAAGCGTTTAAACGGTTCAAAGTGCAGAAACAACATTCATTAACATAAAACATATCATTTGCTGTGTCTCGTGCCACATTTTTTTTTGCTCCTATTCTTTGAGTTATTCCATTCCGTGTCGCTCTCTGCATCAACACGTATCTCTAATACAGTAAATATTATATGTTACCATCGTTTTCATCAATGCAAATTCCATTTTGGTTTGCCTCGGCGCCACCACCTCCACCATCATCGCGCCACACAGCTACCACTGCGGCTGCCGACGCCGACGCCGTCGTCGTTGTCGTTGTCGTAGTCGCTGTTGTTGTCGTTCCGTTTGCTCGAAGACCGTGAAACATATGAATTAAATCGAATCAAATGAAATCAACCACACCAGAGCTTGCCTCTAGATCGATAACTTGAATGTGAAATGTTGTGTTTATTTATTTTTTTCTCTCTAGCGAAAATCAGTTTCCGTTTCTTTCAATGTATTTTCCTTTAATTATGTTATTTTGGTGTTGCCACTACCTAAATTTTTGTTTCATTCAGATAAACAAATGTGTAACCGTGATGCCAAAGCACTTTTTCTCTCACATTCTCTTGCACAAACATACAACGCACATGACACAACATATCGTACAATTCTGTCTCGCTCTGTCTCGCCTTCTTGCTATTCCTGTGCCTAATGCGATTACAGGCAGAAACCTGATCTAACCAAATAGAATGTGATTTGTCTGTAGTGAGCGCATTTCCAAGGTATTACGTCCGAAAAATTGTGTGTGTTGCCATCTCAAAATGGAACGCAAACACATGCAAAGAAAGTTCAACTCGGTTCGAGAAAAGTAGTTGAATGGTTTTTAGGGAAGCATCGTGTACAATATCAAGTAAACGATACAATTTTATTTTCATTTCATCGGTTATCGTATCAGCACATGTACTTGTTCGATATTTTAGGTCTGTTGACCAGATGAGCGCGCTGGTTGAAACAAAGTGTTCACAATTGAAATTGCTGTTGAATAAAACTAAACACAAAAATTATTGTTTCAGTGGAATTTCGAATGGGATATCTCGGGTGCCTCAAAAATATCCATACATACACACAAACACACTCATGCTTTTATATGCCAAACAAATTTTGTTCTGTTCAAGAATGGTAATGACATTTTATCCCATATATAAACATTCACACATCTTCATTTTGATTCCTCCAACGCGATATATACGCGCGATAAAATAGAATCGATTCCCAAAATTGCCAACCAATCCTTCCGTGACAAAAGAAAAGTTTTTATATACACCCTATATATGTATATCTTTGTGTTTCGGTGTGAATTTTTTCTGAATATTGCAAAACTCGTTACAATTTACGGCCAGATCAATCCCCCGCATGTGCTTTATTTATAGACCAAAAATGTTCGAAACATATTTAGTTTTAATTGGTAGCCAACCAACAACAACAAAAAAAAACTTTTTACTACTACTAATTTGTTTGTTTGTCGAAGCCCCACACCCCATGCCCCTCACAACCAATTTCAATGGTTTGTTAGAGTTTTTTTTTTGTTGCCGATCAACTTTTATTCATCTTTCTCTCTGTCTCGTTCGCTCACTCGCTCTGTTAAGACATTTTACTATCCACGAGACAGAAGAATAGAACTAAAACTAGCTAAATGTTTATGATACATCTATAGAGATATCCATTTTCCATCTAATTTTCTGTTGAACAATTGTCCCTTCTAGTGTCAAAATCAATACTCAATAGCTATTTTCATACTCCTACTTTCTCTCTCTCTCTCTCTCTGCCCGTCCGTCCCTATTCGAGTGTATTTTCATCCATATTCAGCATTAATTAACGTAATATTGCCTCTTTTTTAGATGTATGACACGTTTTCTCTCTCTCTCTCTCTTTCTCTCATTTCACCTTTTTGCTGTCATGACACGTTTTTTTTGTTCTTCTTTCATCCAAAATCTATCACATACTGCATTGATTACGAACGGAAAATTGATCGTTGGTTTTATTTGTTTGTTTGACATTTTGATTCAATTTAATTTCATTTCACACAATCAAACTGCTCTCACTCTCTCTCTCTATCTGTGTCTATTCTTCAAACCCAGTCTCTAATACTGTAAACATATATCTATTTGTTTTCGCAAAGTTTTGTTCTTGTTTTGTTACACACTAGGGTGTTTTTGATATCAGTCAAATGAAAAGTGCCTATTTTTGATATAAAGAGCACCAAATTCTGCGTACATTGATGGCATTAACACAACACATCGATTGCTATTCACACTTCCCGAAACAAAAAACTGTTGTAAAGTCTGACTATCAATTGCTGTGTATGTGTTATTGTCATCAAACAGTGCAGGAAGTTTCCTCTTTAAACTAAACAGACACCCATTTAATGATATCAACCCCCCGTGCTCAATCTCTCAATGAGTGTATGGGAAATAACGCATATAGCACGTAAAGTCCACTAGACATGGAACGATCAACACATATATACGCTCTTCTGACTCATTTCAAGTTCTGGGTCACAAAGTCGACTCCAGCAGTATGTAATACGCTATTACAAAAATGTTGTTTGAAAAAATTCTATTCTAATTGACATTTCTTATTTCTTATTCTATCTGATTCGTTCAATTGTGAACATGAAGTGCAGCTGAATTCCGAAGAGGTGACAGTGGCCTGAAAAGAAAAAAAAACACAAAAATAAGTTATTAGTACGATATTTTCTCACTTTCATTCACTTTCATTCTAAATTTTAATTCCGAATCCAATTCCAATTCAATCACAATGACTTACCTTTGTATAAGATCAGCTTCGCAGCAGTGATGTCTCGATGCCAACAAGTCTTCAAAATGCGACGATCATGTGACTCTGCTGCATCCTCTTGCTCGGCAGGGTCCGCGTCCTCATCGATTGCTGCGCTTTGTTGCCAGTTTTTCTGGTATGAAATCACCTTAGACACAAAACGTTCAGCTTGATTTGGATCCTGTTCCACTGCTTCACGCATTCGTTGTCGATCCGCTATCAGCGTGCGCTTGCTCTTCTTCGACACGATTTTCGTTGGTAACTGCAAATTTGGTGGCCAATCATCGTTATCTGGCAGGCACCATTCGCATACTTTCATTCGATCACGTTGTGTTGCTATGTCGAACGGGGTGAAACATCTACCGCAAAGCTGTGATGTTCTGTTCTCGTTGACTTGTCGCACGACGGTGTTCGGAATCTTTCTGAAGCTCTTTGCCAACTTACGGTTGCCTGGACAACGAACATGTTTCTTGATTCGGATCGGAGAATTCGCCGGCATATCAACGGCTCCCATGTGAATGATGGATGGTTTGCGATTTGTCTGTTGAAAATACAAAGAACACATTATTCATTCAAAACAATCGCCCAACTAACGAAATATGCCAATATGAAAACATCTATTCTTACCAGTAAATTAGCAATCTTATCGGTTGCACGGTTTGATTGGATGTATTTGTCAAATTGCAGACGGGCGTATTTTTCTGTTGTATACGTCTCAATTCCTTTCTTCAGCATTGTCAAACGATGTGCGATGTAAGACCCCCAATTTTCACCTTTTGGCGATGGCATCCGTTGATAGCGTTCACGGTCATGCTGTTCTTCGGCCACAAATCGCCTTGTCCATCGCTTTGCCTTCCTATCCCGAACACCCTGCCTGGCCAGATAATGGTACCTCTTCGAGCTGACCGTGAAGTTGATCTGTGGGAAAATGATAAAAAATGAAATAATGCACTCAATCACACGATTTGAGACAACACAAACACAAATTGAAACTAAAATGCAACTCACCTCTTTGCCAGTTTTGATATTCCGTCTGACTGTCGCGTTCCAGGTACGCATGCCGGGATCAATCCCAATCTCGTATACGTACACACCATCACGATACCGTTTCCGCACGATTTCATCGTCTACTAAACGATCCAGGTGACTCTTCGGTACTTCGTACATAATGGATACCGCTTGACCATTCGAGGCAATGTAGGGCCGGAAACGTTTGTTTGATTTCAACAGGCGATGTATCTTTGGCATATCGAAAATCTCATCCCAACACTGCGTCATGGGGTCCTCCACAATTTCGTACTTGATTATTAGACCATGTAATCTGAATCGCATTTCGGACATCATTCGAATGAGAACGTCCGTCTCCATTTTCACGTGCTGTCGCATGAACTGATGAATCGGAATGACTTTGAGATTTTTGATCTTCGGAATTTCAATGCCATTTTCCTCAGCCCAAATGTGGAAATTGTCCACCTCCATTTGCATAGTCAACCACATGTTGATTGATTTGAACCATGTTCCTTCCGATGTTGTGTATATTGCGACATCATTATCTTCTGGCCCGCCAATTTCCGCAATCATATCGAGAAGCAATTGGCGCTTCTCCCACTTTACTTCCCAATGTCGGTCGGTTGTTTTGATGGGATCATACCGATCGATGGTCCATTGCACGGCACGCTTGATATCATCGTTGCGTAATGTGGGGCCAGTTGAAACAGCGTTAAATTGCCACGCACGCATTATGAGATATTGGTACAGGCGTCTTTCGGCATGCATCTCCAAATTGTTGCGCAAATTCGTGGTGTATTGCTTGTAGAGGTATTGCATCTGGTTTCCGAAGAAGCTATTACCCGGCCAACTGAATCGGTTTTCGGCCTCCATATTCTCCACGAAATCACGAAAATCTGGAACCATTTCTTCCTTCTCTTTGTTTTTTTGTAAAACTGCATAAAAACAATCCTTAATTTCCTTGTTGCCATCACCACTGAAGAAGTCCGCATTATTACTTTCGTTGGCACTCTTAACTTTGTACAGGAAGAGCAGCGAAGCTAACGCGCAGATTTTGGTGCATTCAATCGACTTTTGGGTGAACCAATCTTTCACTTGTTGATAATATTGTGGTCGAACGATAGCCTTCAATGTCATTTTTATCGCTAGAATGCCGATTTCTCCTTCAATACCCGTTTTGCTGACTATTTTCTTCTTTTTCCGCTGGTTACCGCGAAGTGGTGTACCCTTTCTCTTCGGCATTTTGGCTGAAATGAAATCAAAAAAAGAAGAAAAAAACAACAAAAAACAATTATAGAAAATATGAAAAAGATATATCCACTTGAAAATGCAATTCAGAAAAGAAAAAAACAATTGAAAACACCGAAGAAACAGAAAGAGAAATTGTAATTTGAAAAGTGTATCAAAGTCACGTCTTACATCAGCAGGCAATGCAACTCGTCTGACTGAATTCGATTCGCTTCGTTGTGTTTCGTTGCGGTCGTATGATGAAATTCACATCGACTCATCGATGTCACCGAGTCTGTCAAATGATCCGCTAATTTCGTTGTGTCAAAATGTTAGCAGTGCCACTTTGCAAATGTCCAGTTAGTTTTGTATCACAACGGTAACATGAACAAAATTCGCCGCAAACATGTCTTTGCTTTTTTAGCACACAAAATCGTCCCATTGTATACACTCACTGTCTTACGGTGGAAAAAGAACAAACGATTATCACTAGTTTTGCTGATCTTTCATTAAAAATGAATACGGAAACAGAAACCACAGTGGCTAAATCCATTTTTCGTGCAATCGACACAGTAGCAGCGTTAAAACTGTGAACTGCCATTGTTCCTTGCCAAAACAACACATTGAATTCATACTGTGGTCAACTGAATCACATCTGTGTTTTGGTGTTTCGCATGGAATTTTTTTTTCGTGAAACGGTTTATTGTATGTGTTTGCAACGAACCGGCGGCATCGTGTTCGTCCTAAATATAGAATGTACGCATGCAGCACAACGCTGGACTGGAAAAATAAACAAATAATATGTTCGTTCCGTTGAACATTTGTTTATTTCATGAAATGAAGCGTATATTAGGAATGAGTTGACTTCCTGTTCGATGATCTGAATTTAAAGAATTGATGTGAAACTAACATCGACGAAATGGAGATGAAAGTATTTGTTACACATATTTTTTGCTTCGGGAAGTGTGAATAGCAATCGATGTGTTGTGTTAATGTCATCAATGTACGCAGAATTCGGTGCTCTTTATATCAAAAATAGGCACTTTTCATTCGACTGATATCAAAAACACCCTGTTACACACACATTAATTTCATTTTGTTTTTCGTATCGTCTTTAATGGAACACTAAATAGAATGTCCACTTAACTCTTGCGCGATGTAGAAAATAAATATTACCTCATTTTTGTTTTAGTTTGAATTTTTGTGTTCTGTATATATACGCAATGCATCCGCTAAAAGAGTTAAGCCGTGCTCATTTTCTATCACACCGTTGCTGCAAGAGCATTACCACTAGCGACACCTTGTGGCACCGATAGTAAAATCCTGTGTGTTACAATGTATTTTTCATCACATTACAGTCGGTGCCACCAGGATCGCCTGTGGTATATTGCTGTTGCAGCAACCTTGTGTTTTCTATGCAATTCGCATTCATTACCAAAACAGTTCCCACTATTTTATTGTCCTGTATACGTTTTAGTTCCTTCTTTCGTTTTGGTTCCGTTTTGTTTTGTACTTTTCGCTCCGATCAAGACACTTTTACTAATCTTTCGTTACGGTCGTTTCAGTTTTCATCATGTTTTTTTGTTGTTGTTATGTGTGTGTGTGTGTGTTACGTTTTCACTTATTTTGATTCCATTAAAATTCATATCGTTTTCATTTACTATGCATTCAATTGTGATTTTCAAGCATTTTACTAGAATCGAGTGCGGTTCTTTTTTCTTTCGTCTCGATTAGTTTTGAACATGCTCATTTCTTTTAGAGTGTGAAACATGCTATTTTTCTCTTTATCATAGCTTAACTTATTCCTTACGCAAATGGTCTTTTCAGTTGAATAATTCTCACAAATATCTTAAGCCCACAACTCTCTCTTCCGATATTAATATGAAAGACAAATTTTTTGATCAGCTGAAAGAGTTTCAGTGAAAAATTGTTCCAAAATCGGACAAATAAGTAAAAATATCGTAGACAAAAATCGAAAATAGCTTTGAAAATCCGAGACGAAAAGCTAAACCGTTTGACCTTTGGAAAATAAGTGAAAAAAAAACAGATCGATATCACGAGTCTGAAATAAAATTAGTAATTTTTAATGGAAGTTACGTGATTTTTGATGAATTTTTATGATTCTCGGATATGATGAATGATTTTCAACGATTTGTCTTTCGTATTAAAAAGGGCGCTTCTTCGTCACCTTTTTTGATTCAATTAAGAAAATATACAATTGATTTATAAATTATGTTGTGTTTTTGTTAAAGATCCACTGAATTTTCACCGTTTGAAGAAATAAGTTGAGTAAATGAAAGAGAAAAAAAATAGGGCGTATATTATAAAAGGATGAATATTTTATATGATAAGCATTAGTAAAATACTGGGAAAATTTAAAATAAATATATATGTCATATATGTAGCGAATGTAAGTTCGAACGAAAAACAAAATTTGACCTAATTTCGAACCATTTCGTTTTACCTTTTTTTTTCGTTGTGTCGGAACTTGACAAAAAAATTCCAACCAAAACAAACAAACAAATCAACGAAAATAAACGACAAAAAACAATGTGCGCGCCACAGATGGTGAAGTACCAACAAACATAACAAGTAACAGCCACGGAAGTGTTCCAGCCCCAGCGCCAATCAAAGAGGCGAACAATGATTCGGTAGAAAATCATGTGGATGGAAATGCAGGTGGCACCGAAACGGAATCAGCACCACCGCCATCCGCTCACAAAAAGGAAAAGTCCGTGTTGCAAGCAAAACTCACAAAACTCGCCATTCAAATCGGTTACGCCGGCTCAACGATTGCTGTATTGACCGTTATCATTCTGGTGATTCAGTTCTGTGTCTCGAAATTTGTCATACAAAAACTGCCCTGGAGCAATGTATATGTTAACCAACTGGTGAAATATTTAATTATTGGTGTGACTGTTTTGGTTGTCGCCGTACCCGAAGGTTTGCCTTTAGCCGTTACTTTGTCGCTAGCTTATTCAGTGAAGGTAAGCGCGCGTGTGTGTGTGTGTGTGTATGTGTGCAAACAAAATAAAAACAGGAATAAAACATTCCGCTGCTTTGTCATCGTATTTATGCTAATTGTTTCCTCCGTATTCTCCTTTTCATTGTAGAAAATGATGAAAGATAACAATCTTGTACGTCACTTGGATGCTTGTGAAACGATGGGTAACGCAACTGCCATTTGCTCCGATAAAACTGGAACACTAACCACGAATCGAATGACCGTTGTCCAATCGTATATATGTGAAAAGCTTTGCAAAGTTACACCGAAATTTTCCGACATACCATCACACGTTGGTAATATGCTCGTGCAGGGCATCTCTGTAAATTCGGCGTACACATCCCGTTTGATGGTAAGACAGTGTGTGGTTGTTTTGTTAAGTTGCACAAATTTTAAACAATTTGACTAACGTTTCGATCTTCAATCTCTCAAAATATCACAGACATCACAGGTAAATCCCACGGATCCAATCACTCAAGTCGGTAACAAAACCGAATGTGCATTGTTGGGCTTCGTACAAGGCCTGGGCATGAGCTATCAAGCAATTCGTGACGAAATCACCGAAGATAAATTCACTCGCGTCTACACATTCAACTCAGTTCGAAAGTCTATGAGCACAGTCATACCACGACCAGATGGCGGATATCGCCTCTACGCAAAAGGTGCATCAGAAATGGTACTTAAAAAGTAAGTGCTTCCGGCCGGTCGGTCCAAACTTTTTTAAATGGCATTCCGTTGATATCTTACTGTTGTTCGCACTGTTTCCATTCACAAATGCTATTGACATGATTCCCTTCGTTCGATCCAAATTGATTGACTTTTTCTCAAAATTTTCGCAGATGCGCATTTATATACGGACACGATGGCGTTTTGGAGAAGTTTACACGCGATATGCAGGAACGTTTGTTACATCAAGTGATTGAGCCAATGGCATGCGATGGTTTGCGTACCATTTCCGTTGCGTATCGCGATTTCGTTCCAGGCAAAGCGGCTATAAACGAAGTACATGCTGACAACGAGCCTAACTGGGAGGATGAAGAGAATATCGGTAAGTGATGTTGATTACGTATACGCACGGCGGGCGACACTTGGCTCGGTATTTTTAGTGTTGCGTCATATTAAAAATAGACTTTTGACAATAGCAACAAAAATGCCGGCCAAAAATAGAACCGTGTAGTCAAAATAAAATTTCGAAATAGATTACACAGAGAGCGCGCGACTGATAAACGCAAATATTAGCTTTGAAATAAAATTTGTATTGTTTTCCGTTCTTTTGTTTCATATCTTTCTTCTGCTTGACAACGACACACAGTGAACAATTTGACATGTTTGTGTGTGGTGGGCATTGAAGATCCGGTTCGCCCCGAGGTACCCGATGCCATTCGTCGTTGTCAAAAGGCCGGTATCACGGTTCGCATGGTCACCGGTGACAACATCAATACCGCCCGTTCAATTGCGGCCAAATGTGGCATTGTCAAACCGAACGAAGACTTCCTGATTTTGGAGGGCAAAGAATTTAATCGACGAATTCGTGACAGCAACGGTGACGTTCAACAACATTTACTGGACAAAGTATGGCCGAAGCTGCGTGTGCTCGCCCGAAGTTCACCAACCGATAAATATACTCTAGTCAAAGGTATTATTGATAGTAAGGTAAGCGAGAATCGTGAAGTGGTTGCGGTCACTGGCGATGGCACCAACGATGGTCCAGCATTGAAAAAAGCCGACGTTGGCTTTGCTATGGGAATTGCCGGCACCGATGTGGCAAAAGAAGCTTCCGATATTATTTTAACCGATGATAACTTCAGCAGTATTGTAAAGGCCGTCATGTGGGGTCGTAATGTGTACGATTCAATCGCCAAATTCTTGCAGTTTCAGTTGACCGTTAATGTTGTTGCAGTTATAGTTGCGTTTATTGGTGCTTGCGCGGTACAAGATTCACCATTGAAGGTACGCATCGATCATTCATTTTAACCTTTCTGCCTATCTAACTACGATTAATCATATCACTAATTGTCTGTCTGCTCAATTCCACATTAGGCTGTTCAAATGTTATGGGTTAATTTGATCATGGATACTCTTGCGTCGTTGGCCTTGGCAACCGAATTACCAACACCCGATCTGTTACTGCGCAAACCATATGGCCGAACAAAACCACTTATATCACGCACAATGATGAAAAACATTATAGGTCAAGCCCTATATCAATTGGGAATCATATTTTCATTGCTCTTCGTTGGTAATTATCATTAGTCTAATTTATTGTGTCGTCCCTCTTTTCAATCACACTGATTGCATTGGCTGAACAAAGTTTGACATTTACTTTATTTTGCAATTGGCATGGTTTACGTGGTCGGAAAATCAGATTCAAAGTGCAAAATGCCTAATTGATTCGATGTCCATTACTTTTTGATCATTTGTAATATGTTCTTTGGTCGACTAATTGACCGCTCTGTGACTTTTTTTTTCTTCTTCCATAGGCGACAAGATGTTAGATATTGAATCTGGCCATGGTCAACCACCGACACAACATTTCACTATTATTTTCAATTCATTTGTATTGATGACGTTGTTCAATGAATTTAATGCGAGGAAAATTCACGGACAACGAAATGTTTTCGAAGGAGTATTCACAAATCCGATTTTCTATTTGATTTGGATTTTCACCTGCATTTCACAGGTAAGCTAACATGTCTGATTATTAAATCAATTAATTACTGTTTAATTAACGGCTGTGGCGTCATCAGACACTGTGACTCTGGCTCGTTTATTGTCACACATTTTTCTACGGCTAATTTGATTTTTAGCCACACAAAAAATGCTCGACACGAAAATCCGTTGACATCGTCTTCCACAAATTCTTTGGTTCGATTCAATTAAATGTGTTGTCAACATTTTGCTATATTTTAGGTGGTCATCATCCAATACGGAAAAATGGCATTCTCCACAAAAGAACTAACACTCGAACAATGGTTATGGTGTTTGTTCTTCGGCGTCGGCACCTTATTATGGGGTCAATTAGTCACAACAATACCGACAAGAAAACTACCAAAACTATTATCGTAAGTGGCATGATTCAACATTTTTTGCGGACATCATAATTTTGAAACTAATTTCGTATTTATCATCATTGTTGTTACTTTTAAGATGGGGCCGAGGTCATCCAGAACAGTACACCGAGGCAATTCATCTTGGTGATGAACGATTCGACTCATTAGATTCCGATAAAAAACCAAGGGCCGGACAAATTCTATGGATTCGAGGTTTAACAAGATTACAAACTCAGGTAAATTTACGGTGCAATGAACTAAACAAGTATTTAAGTGTCTACCATATCGACAAAAAAAAAACTTGTTTTTTTTTCTTCAATTTTTTTTTAAAAACAAAAATCGTATTTCACGTATATTCATTTTTTAGTTTGAACTTCATTGAAAACCAAAAAAAAATACTATTTATATATATATTTATTAATAGGGACAAACAGTGACATTTTATCTTTCTCTAAAACAAATCTTTCCAAAGCTTATATCACTGTACCGAGTGCTCTTCTACAAAAGTGATTCAGTCTATGGTTGTTTGTCTCGGCAAGCAATATTGCCAGTTCACGGAGTTAGTTTTTGCAATTGGATGGCACAAAGTTCCAAAGACTAGTTGGACACATCGGAGATTTTTATTTTATCTTTTGGTTCATTCAAAAATATAAATGAAGCCTTTTCACAGTCTCAAAATGGCTTAACGTTGAACTCATTGTTCATTGAAAGCGATAAAAGTCTCTCTGGAAATGGAATTAATGTGCAAATTCAGTGTCACTTTTGTTCGAAATTTAGTGGCTCTTTAAACGAGTAACGTTTCGCCGAAACAAAAGTGATTTTGGGTGCGAAATGAATTTTTGCTCGCTTATTTAGCGCGATTCGACTAGTCTATGGATGCCGTGACTCGGTGTTTAATTGTAAACGTTTAATCTCTCTCGGATAATTTGTTCATGGTTTTTGCATCAATTTGTAGAAGAGTGCACGGTATCGATTTTAATTTTATCGTCTTATAAATAACTATACCAAAACTTTTTCATCATGAACTATAATTTTTTTTTTTTTTTCAAACGAAAAAGAAAACCAACTCTTTTTATCTCTGAATCTGCTATATTATCTATCTCTCTCCTCTTTCTCTCACTAAAAAAAAATTGCCACCACAAACATAATAAAAAAAATTAGAGATTTTTTTTTGTTCAAATAATAAAATGAAGAACACACACACAAACAGACGCTCTATATGAAACTCGATATAATTTCATTTTCCAACTATTTTGTTTTAAGTTGTTGTTTTTTTTTTTATTTCATTTGAAATATTTTCTTGTTATAATTCTACACACACACACATTATTTGAGCTATGTGCAAATGATAACGTGATATGGGTATTTTACTTGGGACCGCGTGGGGCCAATGGGGCGCTCAATGTAATCAATTCACAGCGTCTCAATATTTTATTCGTCTGTGTACGAAGCGAAAGTGCTTTGACATTATCAATAGTTTATTTTGTTATTTGTTTCGGTTAAATTTTTTAGTTTGTCGTTCGATTCTATTTTCGTTACTCCATCGTTGCCTTTTTTTCTTCTCCTGTGTACGATTATTCTTGGCTTGTCATCGTCATCGAACTCATTTGCACTACTTGTTTCGATGGTGACGATGATGCATTGCCTGAGAAAAGTTTTTCCTCCTGAAAATATATAAAAAATATTGCACTCAATGTCATAGCATCGTAATAATTCACATGGAATTTGGTTCCGTATTCAAATGAATTGCTGGCCCGAGTGAAACTCCAAACACGTTAGAATAGTACTCTATTCTTCATTTCTATATATAAACAAAACGAAGAAAATAAAACAATCAACACGTATAGAACGTTCCGTGATATACGGGTCCATGTTTTTTTTTTAACTTTTTTTTTTGTTCCCGTCACACGCTGACGTCTTTCGCCGCCGATAATATCATTTTGAAGAAAATCCAATTACTACATCGTTTTTTTGTGTGTTTTAAATAGATCAAAACCAAGTAAATTGTTATCACCGAAATCATTTAATGGCGCTTTTCAACTTTTCATATACCTTTTTACCACGTCGCACGTCGAATTATTGATTATCAAACGCTCACGAAACGTCGTCAGTCACGAAGCGTTTTTATGCCACACTCTTTTAATTATGACAGTTTTATATCGAACCAACACCTTCTTTGCAGACATTTTATTCAACAAGAAATGGGTCACATGATAATGAAATCTAAATTAAAATCAAAATTGCCAAACCCAATCAATGACTCAATCATTTGGAGACATCGCCAGTAGCAGTTTTACTGTTTCGAAAATGAGACCGTTTTCGGTAATGGAAAGTTTTCATTTTCGAAGACAATCAAAGCTTCTAGTCTTTTCAAGTGCCCATCGATTAATTGATGAGCATTATCACTGGCGAAGTTATAGTTTCGTCACCTATAAATGGTTCCAGTCGCGACTTCATGATGTTTTTGAACTATTTTTTTGAAAGAGTTTAAGATTCGTTGTTTATCGATTAAATGAAAGCAATTTATTTTCCTATTTCAATGAAAAGTCTTCAAATCTTCGAATAAAAATTGGCAACAACATTTTGCCACGAAAAGTTAAGATTTTAGAGCAAGTTAATTCTTGTGATCACATCCATTTCATCACTACATCGCTAAGATTCTTCGTAATTTCTTAGCGAAAACCAATTGCATTAGTTCCATTTAACGACACGAATTGTAATAATATTTTATAATTCGGCTGAATCCGTCCGAAACGTGATACATAATTTATGTCATCGAAAGTTTTGTCACGAAACAAAGATGCAAACTTGTATTCCAAATCCACACATTCTAACGTTAATGTCGTTTGTATTGTGCGCGGGTTACATTTTGGTGTCGCAACAGCCAAGGCGCCAAGGCAAACATTCTAATTATCTCATTGGAAAATGCGAAGAGTTGCATAGTCGCGTGGTTAGATCGTAATCATTGAAGGCCAGATTGAGAAATATAAAACGTTTCAATTTGTTAAATTGCAATTTTCATCGAAAGTGTCGTCTGTCGCAAACCTTCCATGCATTTACATTGGACACTTGGAATACACATGTATATATAAAAATCGAGTTTTCCATGTACTTCTTTCTCTCTCTCCCCGATTTTTCGATTGAAATGAATTCCCTGTTTTCGTTTGGTCTTTGTTTTCGATCGGACGGTGAAGAGAATTGGTCACACGAAAACAGCAACACTGAAAACGAAACTGGCGACAAGTGGCATTTATTTCTCTTGTTCAATGTTTGGTTACATTTCTTCAACCAAAAAACAAAAAAGATCCAATCAGAATATATTGACGTCTTCTCACACCTTTCAAAGCATCACATTTTATTACCTCTCCCTCCAGTCGATTTTGTGCTTTTGTTCAACATTTTTTTATATATACATCATTTTATATATATCTAGGAGCTAATTTTATTAATTCATCAAACAGTTTTATTACAAAATGATCTTGCATTTCGACACATCAGAACAATCGATACATTTTTCTTTATTGAACAAAACAAACAAACAAAAAATATCAAATGATTTTGTATGTTAATTGATATATTTTTTTATTTTCTTAATTTTTTCATATAAAAACTACAAAACAAAAAACTCTCCGCCAAACCAATTTCAAAACAAACACAAACTCAAATCTCTCGGCATATCTCTGAATGCTATTAAAATGCTCTATCGTGTCGAACACACAAAAAAACCACCAAATTTATTTTCCGTTTTGGATGAAAAAAAAAACCATGAAACCAAACCCTGATCATGAATAACAGCCAGAACCAATGAAAGAAACTGAAGTGTAAGCCCATCTCCGAAGAAAAGTAAACAAATCACACATACACACCAACTCACTTACATAAACACACGATAATTTTGAAATGAAAGTCCTGTCTTTTTTTTGCCCAATTCACAAAACGATTCTAAAGAAACATTTCGTATGGAGAAAGAAAAAAAATACAAACACAATCAAATTATAACTCAAAATATAGGCTTTGTTCTTCGATAGGCACGTGAAAAGTATTCACGAGAGATTTATGAAGAAAACAAAAATGAGTATAAATTAAGAAAAATTAGGAAAATTATGTCATTATAGTCAGTTGCGTTGGTGTTGCAAATGAGAAAGAATAAAAAAAACGGCAACGTACGGAATAGTTTTACGAAATGTTTCAAGTGAAACCATCCAAATTGAGGCTCTAAACACAGACAAAACACACACACATATTGAAGAATGAAAACAAAACAAAAAACACCGTTTGGATGTGCTGATGCCAAAACCAACGACGTGATTGCTTTGGAATTAGCACCCCCCTTCCCCCCTTCAAACAAGGCCGTTTACTTGACTTGACCATTGTCACACACACACGAAAAACTATAAAAAAACAAAAAAAAATGAATTTGTTGTACTGTGCAATGTACCAAAAAAAATATGTTCAAATATATTTTTAGAAATAAATAGATCGAAAAGCCACAGATGAAATTATTGTTACAAATAAGTTATGTATTAAAAGCAGATATAAACAAGAAAGAAAGAAAAAATGAACAAAAAAACACACACTCACAATTATCGAATTATCAATGATGTAATTGTAACGACACACACGGAAAACATACACAAACACAAACACTTATTCAAAGAACTAAACAATTATGACAGAATCAAAGTGATCCGAGAAACGGGACTGTGTTCGCTCTATATAAATGAAAAATAGAAAAAATGAAAAAAAAAACTCGAGAATTATTCATCATTTGTTTGTTTCGTCATCATATTATTTTTTTTAAATCTCTAATTGATAGACAAATTTGTCCAAAACTTGTAATTAACCCACGTACTTCAAATTTGAGAATATAGCGATTTATTCAATATAGTGACAAAAGAAAATGGAAACTCGACGAATGCGCGCGCAAAACGAACCCTTTGATTTATAAGAATAGTTAATTAGAAAAACGGCACTTTTTTTCGTTAAATTTCACCAATTGATAAGAACTTTTTGCACAGACCATTTTTCTTTCTCTTTAAATTGAATATCGAATTAGTTTTTTCATGTTGGCTTTAAAAATTCCAATTTGAACCAATTTCATATATTCCGATGCGAATTTTCCAAGGAATTTTCAACAATGACCACAGCATTAAGGCACAATAATTGGAACTTTTCGAATGTTATACGCGATTTTACTTCATCATCGACGATTATGGAGCCAGAGCTCGAAATCCAG